GAGAGAGAGAGAGAGAGAGAGAGAGAGAGAGAGAGAGAGAGTTCTTCTTCTTCCTCTTCCAAGTCCACCATCTCCTCCTCCCCCTCTCGCTACCTGACTTCTCAGTATCTGCAGACCACGAGAGAGAGAGAGAATGGTGACTTTGGGACTTGACGACATTTGGGTCCAGACTCGATATAGGGATTCAGACATTTGACGAGGGATTATTTGGGACCTGTACCGAAGACTTGGTGTTGACGACATTCCCATCTTCCCCTCTTCTTCGTCTAACCCCCCTCTTCTTCGTCTGTGTATGGTTGGGGACTGGCGCATTCTTCCTGTGTGAGCGCCAGGCCCCTTCACACCATTTGGGGCAACTTCCACTACAGATGCTCCAGACGTTCTTTTCAGGTTAAGATGGTAGCAAACAGATCTGTTTCTGCGCTATCCCACGGTCAGTCCGCAGAATAAGGAAAAAAGCTTAAACCACCAGTACTTCCTAAAGCCGAGCATGTTAACAAGCCACAATTTTAGGAAACGTATAGGCCACTACAGGAGCGCCCAAATTCATCCACCTAGAAACGTTTCTATTCTTTTTTTTTTTCCCACGGCCGCTATCTGGCGCCCATACTCATCATTTAAAAAACTAAAAGCTTCTTATAATACGAAAGCAAAGAAAAAAATGTCCTTAGCACACCATCCACTCCTCCAGCCCCGCCTATTTCATTGAACTTATAAAAAAAAAAACATGTGTCGGACGTATTTGGCCAGTTGCAGTCCCGTCTCCATTTGCAAGCTCGCAGGCTTCTTGAATGGTGTTCGCAATACTTTTGTTTTCTTTTTTAAAGTTTTTTAATTTGAACCATTTCTTGATGTTGCACAGGGGTCATGACGATCTTCTATCGTTCCAATTTTAACGGATGTCCCAAAGGAGGCCACGCTAATCTATCTCTATTTTCTCTGTATCATTCCAATTGTAACGGATGTCCCGAGAAGGACAGGGTGTTTGCAATGCGAGAGATGATTTCTATCAAAATATGAAATGTGACCTCGCAGCAGATGTGACCTCGCCCCTCGACTAACTGAACCTTGTGGTGGAGGGTCTGGCAGCGCAGACAATATGCACCTGATTTGCACCAGGATTCTTTTAACAGCTAGGAGTCCTTTATTTTTTTCCCTTATTAAGGTCCCTAATACCTCCCTACATAGATGCCTTTACCCTACATCTGTGAATGTTTTCAATTCTTTTGTCGACCGCAATGAAAGCGGAAAATCATGTGCATGCCATAAGCAGAGCGAAAAATTCCAGGTGTGCTGTAAGTGCAGTGAAAATCTCAAGCACGCCATGTGCGCACGCACACACACACACACACACACACACACACACACACACACACACACACACACACACACACACACACAACACACAAGAAAGGACTCTGAACACTCGAGCTGACTGCAAGGATTAATCATTTGCCGCCTGCTGTCCCCATTATCGCATTCCTTGCACATCTTGGCCCTCACCATCATCACCACCAAACCCTTCAGCAGCGTCTTTCACCACATCATCCTCTGCATCTCTGCTACTTCCCCTCCTTCGTCCTGCTCGTCATCTCTGCTACTTCACCTCCTTCGTCCTGCTCGTCCTTCGTCCCCTCCTCCTCCTCCCTTCTTTCCTTCTCCTTCATTATCGACTTCATCCTCCTCCTCCCCATCATCAGTGTCACATTCATCGTCAGATCAGACACGGCCTCGGCCTACGTCAGAGATCTGCTCTGCCACCATGCTCAAACACGTACGGAACGACGTCATCGCTCCCAATAGACGCGAGCCAGGAACAGTGCATACTAAGTCTGCTGTCCACAATGTGGCGATGATTTCCACGATTTTTAGTCAGTTTTTTTTTTTTTTTTTTAAGTAAACCCTGTTTTTTTTTTCGTTACAGAAAACGAAGTCCAGGTTTTGAGAAATGGTCAAAAAAAAAAAAGAAAAAGAAAAGAGCCCAGACATCCATCAGGCCGGACATTTGAATAGCCTAACTCAGCTGTGAAATATTTTCAGGAGAGGAAGTGGAAGTTTGTAGAACATGCTTAAATTGCAGAACCCGCTTGAAGTGCGACAGAAACTCAACATTTCCCTCCGCACCCTTGATAGGTGATGTCATCCTTCCCGTGCAATCGAAGCCGTAGGCAGTAATTCCGGCGATCACGCGTTCCAGCACCTCATCGTGGACCTTAGTGCTCCTCACAATTCCTCCACCGCCAACCTGGTCCCGCCGTGCTTCAAACTGGGGTTTAATCAGCACCACGAGCTCAGAGTCAGGCTTCATCAACCCACACACGGCTGGCATAACCTTCAAAATTGAAATGAATGACAAATCGAGTGTGACTAAATCCACCAGCTCGGGAAGCTCTTCAAGGTATCGCAAATTTGTTCGCTCCATCACCTCAACTCGTGAGTCGGTCCTGATCTTCTCTGCCACCTGGCCATAGCCCACATCCACCCCATAGACTCTGGTCGCACCGTGCTTCAGAAGACAATCTGTGAACCCGCCTGTAGACAGCCCAGCGTCCAGCACCACTTTGCCCTGCACATCAACGCCCAGCTCGAGTAGTGCAGCTTCGAGCTTCAGACCTGCTCTGCACACATATTTTGGAACTTGAGCAATGATTTCGATGTTGGCCGAGTCAGTCACTTGCATCCCTGCCTTCGTTGCAGGCCGTCCATCAACGAGTACCTTCCCTTGCAGAATCCAGGATTGGATAATTGTCCTGCTATATTGAGGACAGCGCTCCACACAAAGCTCGTCCAGACGATAACGTCCTCTCTTTCGAGGAGCCCTCTTACGAGCCATGGCATCCATTGGCCCTTCTCCTCCTGTCTTCTCAAGGACTTCTTCCCAGCTACCACCTACCACATTATCACAACTTCTTCCTCCTTCCACACCTCCTCCTCCTCCTCCCCCTTCGCCCTCCCCCTTACCTTCAGCGATACCCGGAACCGATCCCGGTGCAAAGCCAGCGATAACGTGACGGCGACGAGAGAGCACCATCCATCCTCCTCCCCATCTTAATATTCTCCTGGTTTCGGGGACGACGACTGCCGGCCAAGCGCTACTCCTCCTGCTCCCACTCAATTTCTGCCACTTGGTCAAGCCTCTAATTGCTTGCATCTCGTCACCCAGGTATCCTCCTCCTCCTCCTCCTCCTCCTCCTGCCGCTGCAGGTCCTGATACTCCTGCTGCTCTTCCTCCCTCTTTAATGTCGATCGTGGAAATCACGGCAGCTGTCGCCACGTGTCTGCTGATGCTGCACCTCCTCTGGGCACGAGATAGTAATTGCAAATTGCTCCGCTGAGGCCCTCCCATTCTCCTGCTTACTGCCACATGGACCATTCTCCTTGTTGCTGCCACATGGACCGCTGCCCAAGCCATAATTGACGTGCACACTCTCTGCGGCTTCTTCGCCAATCCACTGATGATCGGAATCACAGGTCCTACCCGGGCGTTGCACACCCTCAGCGAAGATCCTGATCCGGAGAAGACGCCCCCCAACTCCCGCATCATCATCACGCTGCTGCTGTTCATGACCTCGATCCCGATCCTTCGACGGCGCGGGTACGGCTCTCCTTGTGAAACTCCCAATGACTTTGTTCAACCCCCGTAGGTAGAATCCGACATAGAACCCGTTGACTAACCCCTTGGGTGGTGCGCAGGCAGTGTCTGTAATAGCTTACCTGTGTCAGCCCAAGGGGTTATGTGTCCAGCCGTGCGTCATTCTAACGCCCTGCCAGTGTCCATGCGCGAGGCTGCAATTGAATTTTGAACCCGCAACCTCATACCTCATACCACTATGCGCATTTCCAACCAGTGCTCTAACCACTTAGCTACATCAACTGGACAGTGTATTGCTTACTCTTTATCCTAGTCTGACCTCGTTCGTATAATTCACAGACTCGACCCTATGCGACCGAGAGGAACCCCTGTTCCATTATTTCCTCTTGGGACTCTCTTTTTTTTTTAAAGCCCAGGTTCTTAGAGGAGGGGGGATACTAGACAGTTGACAGTCACCCACAGTAATCGCCCACTCCGTTGTGCAGATGAACCCCTCTGAAGACCCCACCCACCCTTCCCCTCATCGTTTTGTCCTGGCGCCGCCCTCCCCCCCCTCCGCCCTGTCCTACCCTAGTGTTAACCACCCAGGACCATCAGACCTGACCAGACAGGGGTTGCCGGCACCCACCCTACCCGACCCTTTGCAGTCTACAGTGGCTGCCAACTGGTACATAAAAGAAAGTTTTCCTCACGGCCAACAAAACCACACAAGCCAGAAAATCTACCGACCTACAAAGTAAATTTCCTTGCGGGCCTTCAAAACCGCACAGTACCGAAGGAACCTATCCACCTCCCCACCCAGCCCCCCAGCCAAATGCCTCCCTTTCCCCCTCCTTCACCCCACAACCCCTCCCCCACCATCTCCCAGCCGCCCTGAAGTCAAGGTGCAGTTGCTGATGCGGACAGGAAGACATGCAAGACTCGCTGACGGGACGCCGAATGGATCCACGGACAGACGACGACACACGACCCAGGATTGGACGCCAAATGGTACGGCGGAAGGAGCCCGGACACCACAATGGAAGCGCAATAACAGAAAGACTCCCAGCAACATTGGCGGCCTGTAATTATCCAGATCCTGACGTCACCAACATCAACAGCGAAGCCGGCCCAAGTGACAACTTATCAAATAAAACTTCGGGGCACGAGCTCGCTGTCAACTGCAACATAGAAGTGATACTGCATACTGCCTACTTTCATTTTTTTTATTTTTTTTTTAATTTAACAAAAGCTCCATCTATTGGTGAGGAGCATCACCTGCTGGAAAACGGGTCCAGCATACTGCCTACTAAATCAAGCACTGAATAAAAGCTCAATAATAGAGCCCATGGAATGGGCTGTGGGCACACAGATGCATGTTATTTGGCCTCGGAAATTGAACAATGGCAACTGATTTAATAATGCTGGTTCCTGGATTTCGATGTGAAGGGACGCTGGACCCGGTTTCCAGCAGGTGCTGCTCCCCACCAATGGAACGGAGCCATCCAATCTCGAGGATGTTGAGGGGACGACTGCTCTTATCACCACCACCACCCCACCCTCGCCGATGTTTCAACCTTAAAAAATAATAATAATTTAGGGTTTAGTTAAAGTGATGCAGGATTGTGTGCGCACCAGAGACGAGGTGAGGTGACAGCCACCATTGCAGCATTTGCACGGCTAGCAGCCGCTATGAGTGCAAGTGTGACTGATCATCCTCCAGTAAATGCAACTGACCCCCTCACTTCTGATTCTCGTGTGCACCCCGACTGTTTGCCCCCTCCAAATGACAATGACCCACACTCTGATCATCCTCACTTCATGCAACAGCTACCTTCAAGGAACCCCCAACTGCTACTCCACAGGGGTCTGCCCTGGCCGTCAATACTGACAAGTTGGGAGAACTCTACAAAGTTTGCCTCCCCTCTCCCCTTCCTTCGTCTTCCTCTCCCTCTTCCCTCCCTCTTCTCATGCAGTACTTCTGCCTCCCACTGTGTTAATGTTCCTGGTTTGTTTATGTGACTGACCCTCTGTTTCTTTTGCAGGTGGGTGCCCAGGTTCATTGCATATGAATGAGCATCATTAAAGCACTAGTACCTCCGCCAGTGTCGGGAAATTAGGGAAAAGTGGCACAGTTTTCCCAAACTCCTAAAAATTTGGAGGCCGGGCCCGACGGTGTCTGCCATTGATAAATATGATCGGCGGCTGTCGTTTCGTTTCGGCCTCCGAAGAGGTCGGAGGCCCACCCGAGGCCCGCTATTTTCCCACGCGGCAAAGGTACTAGTGGTTTAAGAGAACAGACAACATATAACCGAAAGGTTTCTCATTAAGAGAACAGAGAACATATAAGTGTGTGTGCTGTGAATACTGAACAGGTCTATTCCTCCCCCTCTACTCTGCCGCTCTTTCATCACAAGCGATGGCCCATTCTCACATCGGAGACCATGGCCCCGGGTGGGACGTCAAACCCCCAGACATGGCCCCAGCCAACTTGAGGATGTCGATTGAGTCTCTCTGGAAAAATCGGAGACTAGAGGCAACCAGCCCAAAATCATGGCTGGAGCCGCCAGCCAAAACTAAAAGAAAAACGCTGCGCTGGCGTTTCGGAAAAGCGTGGCCTGCAGTGGGAATCGGCCTCTTGTACAAAAGAGGCACGAACGTACTGGTCCTTTATGGCACACCGGGATGCGGGCCGCTGGCGCTTACCCACAATCAGCGTGGCCAGACTTGTACGTGAGAGGCGTGGTTAAAGGGGAGCAGCAAGAAGATATATATCATCAAACAGAGCTGGCCGATAAACCATAAGCAGAGAGGGAGAAGAGGACAACAAACGAGGGGCTGTGACAAACTGTTTCGCCGGAGTTTCACCAACTCATCAGGAGGCTGAACCCTTAACAGTCTGCACAGTTCCCCAACTGTTTCGCCGGAGTTTCACCAACTCATCAGGAGGCTGGATCTATTCATGCATACTTATCTGGGTGGAAAAGGGGTCGCTCCGGTGACAATTTCCAGCATGCACACAGGATCGACTGTGTGTGCATGCAGGAGCACAAAACATGCCTGCACACACACACACACACACACACACACACATGCGCGCGTGCATGGATGTATGCACACTTGTGTGCATGTGCACAGGCACAAAACATGCCTGCACATGTATGCACAGTGCACACACATGCCTTCATAAAGCATTCCTAGACATGCGTGCACACAAGCACACCTGCAGACCACACACACAAACACACTCCCGCACATGCATGCACACTTTTGTGTGTGTGTGCACATGCACATGCACACATGCCTGCCCAGGACATGCCTGGACATGCGTACACACAAACATGACCACACAGCATTTGCACACATGCCTGCAGATGCGCACACACATGCCTGCATGCACCCAGACACGCCTGCACACGGATGTACGCACACAAAACGAGAAGATGCATCCCTTGAGGCTTATAAAAACCAGGCACATCCAAATTGACACTCTGCCCCTCCCAGACTGCGTCGGACTGAATGCCTGGAAACTCCCCAGGTCCCGACCCATGCGTACATCAGACATCTGCTTGAATCTATGCCCGCCGTAGACGCAATGCATTTGGTTCTGCGCTTTTCTACTTGCTTCTTACTAAACACTGGTCCTAGACTTTAGAGCTGGCCACAGGAAGCAGAGGATGCAGTATCGGGAAGTCGCTGTATACAAGGGACATGCAACCAAGAACGTGCTTGTATATCTCTAAGAAAAACTTTGCAAATGGACAAAGACAACACCGCCTGGGTGCATTTGATGCCTACCTACCTTCAGAGAATTTTGGAAGTCCTCATGCTCCTCCAATCGATCGGCTTACACCTTGCTTCACAGCAGATATTCATCATGATCATCAGGTTTATTCACTTTTTTTTCTTATTGGGCAATTGACCTTACCTTCTTCTCTTTGAAGTGAATGGTACATCCCAAATGCCGTTCCTCCCCGCCTGATCTCTGGGTCAGAATATCAAACGATGACATATCAGGAGGGATAACAGGACTGAAGAGGACTTCCCTTTCACACCCTGACCGATTCCCCACCACCAGACAGAGACTAGCAAGAGAAGAGGCATACGATGAGGAGGAACATGGCAAACAATCTTCTTTTTTTGCAGTATTGCTTAAATGATATTAGGAGCGTTAGCCGCAATGGCTCAAAACAAAGTAAAAAAACTTAAGCAGGCCAAGTATTTATCAGGGGGGAGAGAGAGAGAGAGAGAGAGAGAGAGAGAGAGAGAGAGAGAGAGAGAGAGAGAGAGAGAGAGAGAGAGAGAGAGAGAGAGAGAGNAGAGAGAGAGAGAGAGAGAGAGAGAGAGAGAGAGAGAGAGAGAGAGAGAGAGAGAGAGGATGCGTTCTTAGATTCCTCATGCTGTAATTCTTTTGTTTCTCCTTCATTTCGGTTTTTGCGGGCAAAGGCGCTCTGTTCCCCGATCTCCTTCTTCAATCCTGTTTGCCAGACTGTTTCGCCAGACTCTCCCCCGTACGTGTGTGTCCGTGTCCGTGTTCGTCTGTGTGTCTGTGTCTGTGTCTGTGTGTGTGTTTGTGTCTGTGCTTGTGTGTGTGTGTGAACACGAGAGAGAGAGAGAGAGAGAGAGAGAGAGAGAGAGAGAGAGAGAGAGAGAGAGAGAGAGAGAGAGGATAAGGTGCAGGTGAGATTCAGAATTCACTACACTTCCATCCAGCTGAATAGGGGATTCCCAAGGTATTGTCCCCTCCCCCCAACCCCCCTTCAATAAACCAGAGAGAGAGAGGATAAGGTGCAGGTGAGATTCAGAATTCACTACACTTCCATCCAGCTGAATAGGGGATTCCCAAAGTATCCTCCCCTCCCCCCAACCCCCCTTCAATAAACCAGACAACGGAAAACCAAAAGGGCAGGTACAAACTGAGAATTGAGAATGAACCGCTGAATCCACCCCTTGCATACCACTAGCCTGATGAGGAGGCACTGCACAAAATGTGAAGCAACTTTGTTCAATTTCCCAAAACAAAAGAAAGGAAATAAAGTAATAACTTCATTAAAAAAAAAAAAAAAAAAACAGAAGAAAGGGGACCCCCCCCTTCCCGCCCCTTCATCCAACCAGTTCCATGTGCCTGCAGCTTTCCCCTGCCCGTGCTGCAACGTGCATCTTTCTTTCTGTAGTTCTGAAACCGACACCTTTAAGACTCACAAAAAATATTTGCAGCGGCTTCATGACAAGTGCGAAGATGTACACAATC